AGCCTTATCTAAATACTGTTCACTTATATGTTTCACTGTAAACACCTGGTCCACACACCCCCTACCTTTCCTAAAGCCTCCTTGTTCATCTGCTATCCTATTCTCTGTCTTACTCTTAATTCTTTCAATAATAACTCTACCATACACTTTGCCAGGTATACTCAACAGACTTATCCCCCTATAATTTTTGCACTCTCTTTTATCCCCTTTGCCTTTATACAAAGGAACTATGCATGCTCTCTGCCAATCCCTAGGTACCTTACCCTTTTCCATACATTTATTAAATAATTGCACCAACCACTCCAAAACTATATCCCCACCTGCTTTTAACATTTCTATCTTTATCCCATCAATCCCGACTGCCTTACCCCCTTTCATTTTACCTACTGCCTCACGAACTTCCCCCGCACTCACAAGTGGCTCTTCCTCACTCCTACAAGATGTTGTTCCTCCTTGCCCTATACACAAAATCACAGCTTCCCCATCTTCATCAACATTTAACAATTCCTCAAAATATTCCCTCCATCTTCCCAATACCTCTAACTCGCCATTTAATAACTCTCCTCTCCTATTTTTAACTGACAAATCCATTTGTTCTCTAGGCTTTCTTAACTTGTTAATCTCACTCCAAAACTTTTTCTTATTTTCAACAAAATTTGTTGATAACATCTCACCCACTCTCTCATTTGCTCATCTTCCCTTTATATAAAGGGACTATACATGCTCTCCGCCAGTCCCTAGGTACTTTCCCCTCTTTCATACATTTATTAAACAAAAATACCAACCACTCCAACACTATATCCCCCCTGCTTTTAACATTTCTGTTATGATCCCGTCAGTTCCAGCTGGTTTACCCCCTTTCATTCTGTGTAATGCCTCACACACCTCCCCCACACTCACATCCTGTTCTTCTTCACTCCTAAAAGATGGTATACCTTCCTGGCCAGTGCATGAAATTACTGCCTCCCTTTCTTCGTCGACATTTAAAAGTTCCTCAAAATATTCTTGCTATCTACCCAAAACCTCCATCTCCCCATCCACTAACTCCCCTACTCTGTTTTTAACTGACAAATCCATTTGTTCCCTAGGCTTTCTTAACTTGTTTAACTCCAAAATTTTTTCTTACTTTCATTAAAATTTCTTGACAGTGCCTCTCCCACTCTATCATCTGCTCTCCTTTTGCACTATCTCACCACTCTCTTCACCTTTCTTTTACTCTCCATATACTCTACTCTTCTTATAACATTTCTGCTTTGTAAAAACCTCTCATAAGCTAACTTTTTCTCTTTTATCACACCCTTTACTGCATCATTCCACCAATCACTCCTCTTTCCTCCTGCACCCACCCTCCTATAACCACAAACTTCTGCCCCACATTCTAATACTGCATTTTTAAAACTATTTCAACTCTCTTCAACCCCCCCACTACTCATACTTGTCACCAGCCCACCTTTCTGCCAATAGTTGCTTATATCTCACCCGAACTTCCTCCTCCTTTAGTTTATACACTTTCACCTCCCTCTTGTTGTTGCCACCTTCCTCTTTTCCCATCTACCTCTTACTCTAACTGTAGCTACAACTAAATAATGATCCGACATATCACTTGCCCCTCTATAAACATGTACATCCTGGAGCCTACCCACTAACCTTTTATCCACTAATACATAATCTAACAAACTACTTTCATTACGTGCTATATCATACCTTGTATATTTATTTATCCTCTTCCTCATAAACTATATATTACTTACTACCAAACCTCTTTCTGCACATAGCTCAATTAACCCTTAAACGGTCCAAACAAATCGACGTTCAAATTCGTAGTGCTACAAAAGTAGATCTACTTTTTTTTAACATATTTTCATATGTAACAAAAAATAAAATGTAGATAAAAGCTTTTTTTTCACGTTTTCAAATGTAAAACAAAAAAGAAGATTTACATTTTTTTACATACTTTCAGATGTTGAAAAAACGTATATATACGTTTGGACCATTTAAGGGTTAAAGGCTCCCCATTTTCATTTACCCCTGGTACCCCAAATTTACCTACTCCCTCCAAAACATTTTTGCCCACTTTAGCATTGAAATCCCCAACCACCATTACTCTCACACTTGGTTCAAAACTCCCCACGCATTCACTCAACATTTCCCAAATTTCTCTCTCTCTCCTTTACACTTCTTTCTTCTCCAGGTGCATATACACTGACTATAACCCACTTTTCACATCCAACCTTTATTTTACTCCACATAATCCTTGAATTAACACATTATAGTCCCTCTTTTCCTTCCATAACTTATCCTTCAACATTATTGCTACTCCTTCTTTAGCTCTAACTCTATTTGAAACCCCTGACCTAATCCCATTTATTCCTCTCCACTGAAACTCTCCCGCCCCCTTCAACTTTGTTTCACTTAAAGCCAGGACATACAGCTTCTTCTCATTCATAACATCCACAATCATCTCTTTCTTATCATTTGCACAACATCCACGCACATTCAGACTTCCCACTTTGACAATTTTCTTCTTCTTATTCTTTTTAGTAATTATTACAGGAAAAGGGGTTACTAGCCCATTGTTCCCGGCATTTTAATTGACTTTTACAACACGCATGGCTTACGGAGGAAAAATTCTTATTCCACTTCCCCATGGATATACATGTAAAAGGAAAAGTAATAAGACCAAGAACTATTAAGATAAAATCAAAGAAAACTCAGATGAGTGTGTATAAATAAACATGTACATGTATGTGTAGTGTGACCTAAGTGTAAGTAGAAGTAGCAAGAAGTACAGACAAAAGACACCAGCAATCCTACCATCATGTAAAACAATTACAGGTTTTCGTTTCACACTCACTTGGCAGGATGGTAGTACCTCCCTGGGTGGTTGCTGTCTACCAACTTACTGTAGTACATTATTATTATATTCTTCTTTCAACAAACCGGCCATATCCCACCGAGGCAGGGTGGCCTAAAAAGAAAAACGAAAGTTTCTCTTTTTAAATTTAGTAATTTATACAGGAGAAGGGGTTACTAGCCCCTTGCTCCTGGCATTTTAGTCGCCTCTTACAACACTCATAACTTACGGAGGAAGAATTCTGTTCCACTTCCCCATGGAGATAAGAGGAAATAAACAAGAACAAGAACTAGTAAGAAAATAGAAGAAAACCCAGAGGGGTGTGTATATATATGCTTGTACATGTATGTGTAGTGTGACCTAAGTGTAAGTAGAAGTAGCAAGACGTACCTGAAACCTTGCATGTTTATGAGACAGAAAAATGGACACTAGCAATCCTACCATCATGTAAAACAATTACAGGCTTTCGTTTTACACTCACTTGGCAGGACGGTAGGACCTCCCTGGGCGGTTGCTGTCTACCAACCTACTACCTAGGATTATCATTATATATGTATTATTAGTATATGTATTATATTATTGTTATTGTATTATATTATTATATACCTACACTCCGACTTACGACCGAATTCGGTTCCGAGAAACCGGTCGTAAGTCGAAATGGTCATAAGTCGAACTTTACTACTGAATATCAACAAAACATTTTTATAATGACTTTATTTTATTGTTTTATTTTGGTAATTCATGTTTTACTTTACTTTTTATGCTGTTAGAACTGTATTTTATACTGTAAGGTTTAGGATAAACACTGTGTACAACACAAATAGTTGTTTTTTTCCCAGAAATTTGGCATAAAAAACACGGTCGTATGTCGAGTGGTCGTAAGTCAAGCAGGTCGTAAGTCGGATGGTAGGTGTACATACTATTATTATTATACATATTATTGTTATTATTATTATTATTACAATATAAATAATATGTAATTTTTATTCACACAAAAAATGTAAGATTTACTGTTATGCCTTATTGCAATAATTGTATAAAAAATGTCAACCCATTCATGACTGCATATTGGAATGGACAGTGATGTCATTTGTTTACTCTTGAACAAATGGAACATTTCTCCTGTGTTGAGCTCAATTTCAAGGTATTTTTCGTTGGGAAAGCAATCAAAATCATATCTATTTCTGTAATATATCTTCCATTCTATCAAATGAGACCAAAAAACGAGAATCTACCCATAAAAACCATACGAAAATACTGCTAAGGGGCGGCTAATTGCTGAGAAGCGAACTCCATTATTTATGCTTAGATTTCTTTCATTTTTTGGCGTACATTAAGAAGCATCTTTCCCTCATACATTGCTCAAGTTTCAATAAGATAGTCCAACAAACAAATGAGATACAATTTCCTAGATCAAGAGCAAGAGCCCCTCACCAGTGTCAAGGAACCTGCCTTGAGGTCTGCTCGCTTATGAAAATTTTGCTCGTGTATGGAAACAAAAAATCGACCCATCGACTGCTCGTATTTGGAAAAACTCGCACGTGGATGCGCTCGCAAGTAGAGGTTCCACTGTAGTTTAGACTACCACTGGGGCAAGAGTGGATTATAATTGAGGATGAGCTGTACAAGTTATCTGTTTGTTTCATGTTTGTGTGTGCAAGCATCATGAAGATACTGTGCTAAAGGTTTTGTGTGCAAGGAACTTGGACATGCAGCAGGCATGTGTGAGCATGTTCGATAGGAGTGAATGAAGACAAATGGTTTTTGGGACCTAATGAGCTGTTGGAGTGTGAGCAGGATAATTTTTTGTGAAGAGATTCAGGGAAACTGGTTAGCCAGACTTGACTCCTGGAGGTGGAAAGCATAATGCCTACACTATAAAGGAGGGTTTTGGGATATTGACTGTTTGGAGTGACATCCAAACTGTTGTATATGAGCCCTTCTGCAAAGACAGTGATTGTGTGAGAATGATGGCGAAAGTGTTTCTTTTGTGGGTCACCCTGCTTCGGTGGGAGATTGCCGACGTGTTAAAAAAAAAATCTTAATTGATGAGAGTGCCAAAAAATCTAAACTATTTATGAATGCAGTTAGATAAGACATATTTTTGCATTTTAAAGAAATAATATAAAGCATGTCTTTTCAGATATTATTCATGGAAAATTGGACCAAAAAAATGGTATATTAGAACTAGATCATGCAATTGGTCGGGACATCAAGCCAGAGGATTTGCCTAACATTGTAGCAACTTTACAAGTATGTATTGGTTGTTGTTTATTAACAGAATTATGTATTAAACTTATAAGAATGGTTCACTTGTTTCATCTCTCATGGTTTTGAATGGATCATGGTTGACAATGGAAAGGCTGGCAAATAAATATAGCAAAGCAGTGTGATTTACAGTTTTTATAAGTTTTGTAACATGCATTTTCTTGCACTTTAAACATGTTTCTACAGTTGAGTAAGTGTTACCCTAAAATTTCAATACATCATATGTTATGGAAAGAAATCAAAGAAGTATGAGAGTATGACTGTTTTAACTAGAGAGTATATAAGAATGAAAGTGAATTATGAGAAGTGGGTAATTGTTAGTGTTTTGTGCATCTAGATGTGTGAAAAGTATAGAAGTGGTAGATAAATATTTTGAAAGCTATTAATTTAATGTTTAGAGAATTTAAGGCAAGTGAGAGAATAGATGCTATAGGGGATTTGACCACAAAATTAGGATATTGTTGTGGAAGGTGTAGTATTTTATTATTATTAACACACTGGCCGATTCCCACCAAGGCAGGGTGGCCCGAAAAAAAAGAAAAACTTTCATCAACATTCACTCCATCACTGTCTTGCCAGAAGGGTGCTTTACACTACAGTTTTTAAACTGCAACATTAACACTCCTTTTTCAGAGTGCAGGCACTGTACTTCCCATCTCCAGGACTCAAGTCCGGCCTGCCGGTTTCCCTGAATCCCTTCATGAATGTTACTTTGCTCACACTCCAACAACACTTAAATAATATTTATTGTCTATAAGAGGCAACTAAAATGCCAGGAGCAAAGAGCTAGTAACTTATACAGGAAAACCTGTATAAATTGCTAAATGTAAGGGGAAAAATTTCCGTTTTTCTTTTTAGGTCACCCTACCTCAGTGGGATACGGCTGGTGCATTGAAAAAAAAAGTTACATATGTTGGGTTAACAATTTTTTGTGAAGATTTCAGCAACTTGCTTTAAGAGGGAAATAACAAGGGTAAAGAAAGTTGTAATAGTGTTTAGAAGTCTGTAGTAAGAAAGAGGTTTGTCATTGGATGCAAAAATAGAAATGCCTCAGAGTTTAATGTCATTGTTTTTGTGTAGGTATGAGACAAAATCCTTTGAATGGGATGATTGTGGGATGAATTTTATGTGGAGAATAATTTGCTGAAATTAAAAGAGGGGTTTTTTGGAATGAAAGACATTATTTAAAGAGCACAAGAGTTGAGATTGGTAATGTAGAAAGAATTAAGACAAGGTGTATAAAAGAGTACATTAGTCTGAGTTAGATGGAAAGTGTAGCGAGCTCAAGGAGGGTGTGAGAGAGGTACATAAAGGTAATAATTTGAGCATCTAACAGCATGTGTTTAACTGAAGTGATCAGAAACAAGTGATATGGCATAGAAAATTTGAAATGTTAGTGTGTATGAGGTAACACATCCATAGGGACTTTTTAAAATTGAGTATTTAGCCACATCATTTATGAGCCTATTTTTGGTGTTAACAGCAGTGCTATAATTACTTCCATGGTAAAGATTTCTAGTATTACATCATTCTATTAAACATCAGATATGTGTGCCTGTTCTGTATTTCTCTATTTTATTTGCATTCTGTGGTATGCATGGAATTCTGTATTTTGAGCTGTGATCCTGATGGTTGAAGTGTAGATTTTTTTCCCAACAGTCTTGGTGTGACACATGTGACACTATGCTTGCTAATATTGATCAGCTGATCACCCGTGCTAATTCAGACAAGGAGAAACACCTAAAGCATCGTAATTCATTAGAAACTGAGGTAAGATGGTGAAATATTTATTAAATCTATATTGAATCTTTAGGTTCAATAGAAATTGAATCCCCCTTTGTGTAGCCACAGTTGATTTCAACAAATTATTTCGTCTTAAGGGTGGCATCGGTAAATATTGTCATGGAAAATTTAATGAAAACCACAATACACAGTAATTATGTTGACATTTTTTGTCAATCATTGCTGCATATAAGGTCATCCAAAAAACTGAGTGATAACTTATAAAATCACATTCTATCTTGTAAAGTGAGGACATTAAATGTATTTTATTTCCCACTTACCATAAGACGTACTGTAATTTGTTTTAACACACTGACCATTTTCTAATGCCAGGGTGACCCAGTGAAGAAAAAAACATTCACTATCACTCATTCCCTGACAATCTCTCCAGAAGTGCATAGATATCACATCATTCAAATGATCTGTTGAATTGCAGCATTTCCACCCACCTTTCAGATTGCAGGCACTGTACATACTTCTTACCCTCAAAGCTCAAGTCCAGCTAACTGGTTTTCCTGAGTCTCTTCATAGATATTTTCTTGCTAATACTTCATCTGTTTGTTGAAGCCCAAAAACCACTGATCTTGACTCCGACCTAACACACACACATGTGCCTGCTGGACGCTACAACTGAACACTTCCTTCACACCTTCCATCCATTTCTGGAATATATTTTACAGGTTCCATCTGCCTCAGATTTATATTATTGATCAACCTATATTGCTCCATCCTTTTTAAAGAGCCAAACTATCTAATTCCCTCATTTGATCATAAACATGACATCTTTAGTGACACTGGCTTCCTTGCTGCAGCACTCAAAAAAAAAAATCGTTTAAAAATAATTTAATTTTTTTTTCAACAAACCAGCCATATCCCACTGAGGCAGGGTGACCCATAAAGAAAAACAAAAGTTTCTCTCTAAATTTAGTAATTTGTACAGGAGAAAGACTTACTAGCTCCATGCTCCTGGCAGTTTAGTTGCCTCTTACAACACGCATGACTTACAGAGGAAGAATTCTGTTCCACTTCCTCATGGAGATAGGAAATAAACAAGAAAAAGAACTAGTAAGGAAACAGAAGAAAATCCAGAGGGGTGTGTGTGTATATATATGCCTGTACATGTATGTTTAGTGTGACCTCAGTGTAAGTAGAAGTAGCAGGACGCACCTGTAATCTTGCATGTTTTTTCTTCTTTCAACGTACCAGCTGTATCCCACCGAGGTGGGGTGACCCAAAAGAAAAAAATAAAGTTTCTCCTTTTAAATTTAGTAATACATGTATATACAGGAGAAGGGGTTACTAGCTCCTTGCTCCCGGCATTTTAGTCGCCTCTTACAACACGCATGGCTTACAGAGGAAGAATTCTGTTCTACTTCCCCATGGAGATAAGAGGAAATAAACAAGAACAAGAATTAGAAAGAAAATAGCAGAAAACCCAGAGGGGTGTGTATATATATGCTTGTACACGTATGTGTAGTGTGACCTAAGTGTAAGTAGAAGTAGCAAGACGTACCTGTAATCTTGCATATTTATGAGACAGACAAAAGACACCAGCAATCCTACCATCATATAAAACAATTACAGGTGTCCATTTCACACTCACTTGGCAGAACGGTAGTACAGGTTGGCCATCACTAATCTGGCGATCAGTAATCTGGTTCCATCAGTAATCCAGCACTAATTTTGGCTAGCATAATTTCAAATTTCTGGGGTCACCACACCAACCTGCCACTACTGTTTGGTGGTGCTTCTTACTACATAAGTCATTCCAATTTCTTTTTCTCCATTTATTGTTATAACCTGCTGACCTTTAGCCCTAGCCATGGTTCCAATGACTAAAAGAAATGCTTCTCGTTGTGTAAAGCACATACACTGTACATTGTCCATAAAAGATAAGGTGGCTCTGAAGCCACTGTCGGTTGCCATGAACTCAGCTCACTCAGATAAGCTGTAACTGGTAAATTTGGGCCTACATATGAGAGAATAGGTCGGCGTGGTAAGTGTGCACTATATAAAAAAAAAAATCCTCTCTCTCTCTCTCTCTCTCTCTCTCTCTCTCTCTCTCTCTCTCTCTCTCTCTCTCTCTCTCTCTCTCTCTCTCTCTCTCTCTCTCTCTCTCTCTCTCTCTCTCTCCCCTCTCTCTCTCTCTTTATCTCTCTGTCTCTCTATCTCTCTGTCTCTCTATCTCTCTATCTCTCTATCTCTCTGTCTCTCTATCTCTCTATCTCTCTCTCTCTCTCTCTCTCTCTCTCTCTATCTCTATCTCTCTCTCTCTCTCTCTCTCCCCTCTCTCTCTCTCTCTCTCTCTCTCTCTCTCTCTCTCTCCTCTCTCTCTCTCTCTCTCTCTCTCTATCTTCCTCTCTCTCTCTCTCTCTATCTCTCTCTATCTCTCTCTCTATCTCTCTCTCTATCCTCTCTCTCTCTCTCTCTCTCTCTCTCTCCTCTCTCTCTCTCTCTCTCTCTCTCTCTCTCTCTCTCTCTCTCTCTCTCTCTCTCTATCTCTCTCTCTATCTCTCTCTATCTCTCTCTCTCTATCTCTCTATCTCTCTCTCTATCTCTCTCTCTATCTCTCTCTCTATCTCTCTCTCTCTCTCTCTCTCTCTCTCTCTCTCCTCTCTCTCTTCTCTATATATATATTATATATATATATATATATATATATATATATATATATATATATATATATATATATATATATTATATAACACACACACACACAAAACAACCACTCTGAAAGATAGAGAAATTCCAAGTGCTTTCGTGACTACTCACATGGTTGTTTTGCATATTCTGAAATCACCTGTTTACTGTGATCTTATTGCATATATATATATATATATATATTATATATATATATTATATATATATTATATTTATATATATATATATATATATATATATATATATATTATATATAATATATATATATAATATATATATATATACTGAGGCGAGTAGGTAAAATGAAAGGGGGTAAGGCAGCCGGGATTGATGGGATAAAGATAGAAATGTTAAAAGCAGGTGGGGATATAGTTTTGGAGTGGTTGGTGCAATTATTTAATAAATGTATGGAAGAGGGTAAGGTACCTAGGGATTGGCAGAGAGCATGCATAGTTCCTTTGTATAAAGGCAAAGGGGATAAAAGAGAGTGCAAAAATTATAGGGGGAAAAATCTGCTGAGTATACCTGGTAAAGTGTATGGTAGAGTTATTATTGAAAGAATTAAGAGTAAGACGGAGAATAGGATAGCAGATGAACAAGGAGGCTTTAGGAAAGGTAGGGGGTGTGTGGACCAGGTGTTTACAGTGAAACATATAAGTGAACAGTATTTAGATAAGGCTAAAGAGGTCTTTGTGGCATTTATGGATTTGGAAAAGGCGTATGACAGGGTGGATAGGGGGGCAGTGTGGCAGATGTTGCAAGTGTATGGTGTAGGAGGTAGGTTACTGAAAGCAGTGAAGAGTTTTTACGAGGATAGTGAGGCTCAAGTTAGAGTATGTAGGAAAGAGGGAAATTATTTCCCAGTAAAAGTAGGCCTTAGACAAGGATGTGTGATGTCACCGTGGTTGTTTAATAAATTTATAGATGGGGTTGTAAGAGAAGTAAATGCGAGGGTCTTGACAAGAGGCGTGGAGTTAAAAGATAAAGAATCACACACAAAGTGGGAGTTGTCACAGCTGCTCTTTGCTGATGACACTGTGCTCTTGGGAGATTCTGAAAAGAAGTTGCAGAGATTGGTGGATGAATTTGGTAGGGTGTGCAAAAGAAGAAAATTAAAGGTGAATACAGGAAAGAGTAAGGTTATGAGGATAACAAAAAGATTAGGTGATGAAAGATTGAATATCAGATTGGAGGGAGAGAATATGGAGGAGGTGAATGTATTCAGATATTTGGGAGTGGACGTGTCAGCGGATGGGTCTATGAAAGATGAGGTAAATCATAGAATTGATGAGGGAAAAAGAGTGAGTGGTGCACTTAGGAGTCTGTGGAGACAAAGAACTTTGTCCTTGGAGGCAAAGAGGGGAATGTATGAGAGTATAGTTTTACCAACGCTCTTATATGGGTGTGAAGCATGGGTGATGAATGTTGCAGCGAGGAGAAGGCTGGAGGCAGTGGAGATGTCATGTCTGAGGGCAATGTGTGGTGTGAATATAATGCAGAGAATTCGTAGTTTGGAAGTTAGGAGGAGGTGCGGGATTACCAAAACTGTTGTCCAGAGGGCTGAGGAAGGGTTGTTGAGGTGGTTCGGACATGTAGAGAGAATGGAGCGAAACAGAATGACTTCAAGAGTGTATCAGTCTGTAGTGGAAGGAAGGCGGGGTAGGGGTCGGCCTAGGAAAGGTTGGAGAGAGGGGGTAAAGGAGGTTTTGTGTGCGAGGGGCTTGGACTTCCAGCAGGTATGCATGAGCGTGTTTGATAGGAGTGAATGGAGACAAATGGTTTTTAATACTTGACGTGCTGTTGGAGTGTGAGCAAAGTAACATTTATGAAGGGGTTCAGGGAAACCGGCAGGCCGGACTTGAGTCCTGGAGATGGGAAGTACAGTGCCTGCACTCTGAAGGAGGGGTGTTAATGTTGCAGTTTAAAAACTGTAGTGTAAAGCACCCTTCTGGCAAGACAGTGATGGAGTGAATGATGGTGAAAGTTTTTCTTTTTCGGGCCACCCTGCCTTGGTGGGAATCGGCCAGTGTGATAATAAAAAAAAAATATATATATATATATATATATATATATTTTTATTTTATTTTATTATCACACTGGCCGATTCCCACCAAGGCAGGGTGGCCCGAAAAAGAAAAACTTTCACCATCATTCACTCCATCACTGTCTTGCCAGAAGGGTGCTTTACACTACAGTTTTTAAACTGCAACATTAACACCCCTCCTTCAGAGTGCAGGCACTGTACTTCCCATCTCCAGGACTCAAGTCCGGCCTGCCGGTTTCCCTGAATCCCTTCATAAATGTTACTTTGCTCACACTCCAACAGCACGTCAAGTATTAAAAACCATTTGTCTCCATTCACTCCTATCAAACACGCTCACGCATGCCTGCTGGAAGTCCAAGCCCCTCGCACACAAAATATATATATATATATATATATATATATATATATATATATATATATATATATATATATATATATATATATATATATATATATATATATAGAATGAAAGATAAATTACAGAAATAAATATAATTTTGATGGTTTCACATCAGAAAGTACTTTAAAATTGAGCTCAAAGTAGTGGAAATGTTCGATTTTTGCCGATGTTCAAGAGTAAACATGACATCAACGTCCAATGCATGTCCAACTGGCCGGTCTAATACGCAGTCATGACTGGGTTGACATTACGTATTTATACAATTATTACAATAATGCAGTGGTCTGCATAACAGTAAATCTATTTTTTGTGGGAATAAAAATTTAAAATAGAAAGCAAGTATAATATAAGAGGGGCCTGGAGATGTGACTAATGAACAGAGAAAATGTTATTTTAGTGCTAGGAATTCTGCATTGTTTATTCTGGACCCTGTTTTGAAACTGTCTTGAAATTTGTGTGAAATTGGCCAAATTATCAATTTCTGACCACTATTGGGTAGTTGAGATAGGTAAATGGGAGGTTCCATGTACTCTGTCGCCAGAATAGAAGGAATACTAGTGAAATAACTATGAGTTTGTTTTACTGGAACAATGGAATGAGCCATAATAGGGCATAAAGTGGGTGAAATTGCCGATGTGTAAATATCGCCGTTAGGTTAAGTGTACATGTATTCTAATCTAACCACTCTGTAATCCGGCAAAATCACTAATCTGGCACCCTACAGGTCCCGATGATGCCGGATTAGTGATGGTCAACCTGTAACTCCCTGGGTGGTTGCTGTCTACCAACCTACTACCTACTACCTAGGGTATATAAAAGTACTGGCACAGTTATTTGATAAACTTCTTTCCACAAAATCTCCCACACACCAGCTACCCTACTCCTTATCTAATCTATGATTAACTTTGTGTTGCATTGCAGAAACCGTTCTGCCATACATCTTCCAATCTGATGTCCAATCTTTCATAGCCTTAACATCTCAGTCTTTCATAGCCTTAAATCTCAGTTTTTCATAGCCTTAACATCTCAGTCTGATCACCTTACCCTTTTCTATGTTCACTTTTAGGTTTTGTTTTTTACACACTGTCCCAAACCTCCAAAAAGCACTGTCATCAGGGAAGAGCAACTCACACTTTATATCAACCTGACTACCTTTTAAGCTAGCTTCTTTCCTCATCCCTTACATTCACTTTTTCTACCAGTCCATCTATAAACACACTTGACAACCAGTAAGGAAAAGGTAAATTTTAACAATATGTAAATTCATTAAATGCTTCCAATAGACTGGCATATAAAGTAAACAAAGACAGTCAACTTTGAACAAATGTGTATGGTTTTCAAGTTAAACATGATTAGTAAGAAAATTAGAAATATGGCAGTAGCTATACCAAGAAAGGCAAAAAGAAACTAATTGATATTCTCTCAAAAAATTATTAACTAGTTACTCAGATAAAAACCATGAAGCTAGACTTAGAGGTTATACAGGAGGAAATAAGTTAAACAAATCAAAATAATAAGTGATGATCAGATAAGTAAATAAATAAATTATCTTTATTTCTACAAGTGTATGATACAACTTATACAGACCTAGCTGATGTTAGTGACATACTATATAAAAAGCCCCTGGTTATGCAGAGCATTTTGGACAACATAGGTTAATCTTGTCCCCTAGGGTGCGACTGACACCAGTCAGCTAACACCCGGGTACCTATTTGCTGCTAGGTGAACAGGGACAGCAGGTGTAAGGAAAGGTGCCCAATGTTTCCACCCGTACCGGGGATCGAACCTCAGACACTCAGTGTGTGAGCTGAATGCACTACCAACCAAGCTATGGGCCACCTTAAACTAAGTAGTAAAAATTCAAATAAGAGAGAGAAGCTGTTGTCGAATCTTAGATGAGAGCTATGCACTTTCAGTTGAAAAATTTGAAGAAATGAGAAAAAAGATGTATTAAGTGCAAAAAAATAAGCACTTTAGCTAATTTCACTAGAGATGGAAGGGACTCTTCCAAATAATCCTAAACAATTAAAGGAAATTATTGACAGAAAAAATGGTTAGTGTTTTTGGTTCTATAGAAAAATAAATCACATAAAGAATGGAACAAGATAAAAGAACAAATCAAAAAAAGAAATGAGATAAAAATTTCTTAACTTTTTTCAACAATAAGGAATGTATTACAAAATATGGACAAATTTAAAAGATGACAAGAAGATCAGAGCAAGTAATTATGATTAGCTTTCAGTTGGATCAAACATAAGGAAAAGCAATAGGGCTATAAGAGAACTGAAAGGCTATAGCGACATGTCAGTTTGACAAAATTTATTGGAGGAGGAAACAAAAAATAAATGTGTACTGTATTGACACTGCCCAAAGGCTAAATAATCAAAGTGAGGAAAAGAAAAATATTTTTTCTACATAGTACATGGCATCCCTGACCTACAGACACTCGAGTTACCATGATCTACATTTTTGGTCGAGGTCCAAAATACTTAATACAGTATTGAGAAAATAATTGTTAATGAATGTTGAACTTCAATTACAGACATGTGTGACATAATTGTCATTTTGTTTTGTTTTTATACTTTTATTTTATATAGAATAATAAGTTAACCCTTTCAGGGTCCAAGGCCCAAATCTGAAGTGGTGCCCCAGTGTCCAAGAATTTTCAAAAAAAAAATTTGTTATTTTTTCTTATGAAATGGTAAAGAATCTTTTTGTGAAGGTAATAAAATAAAAAGTACGAAATTTGATGGAAAATTGATGAAATTGTGCTCTCGCGAATTTTGATGTGTCAGCGATATTTACGAATCGGCGATTTTGCTGACTTTGACTCCCATTTTAGGCCAATTACATTATTCCAGTCAACCAAATTCTTAGCTATTTCACTAGTATTACTTCTATTCTATCGATTGAGCACAAGAAATCAGCAAGTCAACTGTTTCAACTACAAATTAAAGTGATCGGAAATATTCCAATTTCAAAATAGGGTCCAGAATAAACAATGTAGGTATTCCTGGAACTAAACTAACATTTCCTCTGTTCATTAGTTATGTTTTGAGGCTTTACAAATAAATTCCATTTTGATTTTTTATTCACATAATGAATTTTTATTCACACCAAAAAATTGAAGATTTACTGTTATGCAATACTGTAATAATTGTATAAATATCATCACCATATTTGTGAATGCATATTAGACCCACCAGCTGGCGTGTATTAGACGTGTGAGGTCGTTTGTTTACTCTTGAATATCGGCAAAAATTTAACATTTCTGCTACTTTGAGCTCAGTTTCAAGCCATTTCCAGTGCTAAAACCAATCAAAATCATCTCTATTTCTGTAATATGTCTTCCATTCTATCAATTGAGACCAAGAAATCGCAAATACAACTATAAAAAACATACGAAAAAACACTGCAAAGTCGCTGTTTTAATCAAAAAATCATGATTTCAGTTTTTTTCTCTCATTATACACAGTGTGCTGCAGGATCTGTTTTATGTGGTGCACACATACCACATAGATGTATTCTCTCATATCTAGGCCCAAATGTACCACTCACAGTTTATCAGAGTGAGCTGAGCTCATGACGTAGATCTACGGTTTGGACCCTGAACGTAAAGCCGTAGATCTGCGGGACGGACCCTGAAAGGGTTAAGGGTACAAATAACTCAGTCATAAGTTGAATCCAGGAATGCAGCTCATTCATAAGTTTCGATACCTTTTAATATAGCTGAACTTGGATACAAAGATGTACTGCCATTGTGAAGAAATCACAGGTGCAGAGCAAGCTTTTATTGTGGCAAGATTTATCTACATGGTACAAAATCTTGTTACATAAAAGCTTACTTTGCTCCTGTGCCATTTCTTTATTTGGGGTCAAACCCTCCAGGAAACAAATAGAGGGTAGATAGAAACCAGACCAAAACAAATGAACAAGCTAACTCCAATAGTGAAGTGTTGAAATTTAACTAATAGTAATTAACAAAAATAAAAAGAATCATAGGGTGAGCAGTGCACTTAGTAGTCTGTGGAGACAAAGAACTTTGTCCTTGGAGGCAAAGAAGGGAATGTATGAGAGTATAGTTTTACCAACGCTCTTATATGGGTGTGAAGCATGGGTGATGAATGTTGCAGCGAGGAGAAGGCTGGAGGCAGTGGAGATGTCATGTCTGTGGGCAATGTGTGGTGTGAATATAATGCAGAGAATTCATAGTTTGGAAGTTAGGAGGAGGTGCGGGATTTCCAAAACTTGTCCAGAGGGCTGAGGAAGGGTTGTTGAGGTGGTTCGGACATGTAGAGAGAATGGAGCGAAACAGAATGACTTCAAGAGTGTATCAGTCTGTAGTGGAAGGAAGGCGGGGTAGGGGTCGGCCTAGGAAAGGTTGGAGGGAGGAGGTAAAGGAGGTTTTGTATGTGAGGGGCTTGGACTTCCAGCAGGCATGCGTGAGCGTGTTTGATAGGAGTGAATGGAGTCAAATGGTTTTTAATACTTGACGTGCTGCTGGAGTGTGAGCAAAGTAACATTTATGAAGGGATTCAGGGAAACCGGCAGGCCGGACTTGAGTCCTGGAGATGGGAAGTACAGTGCCTGCACTCTGAAGGAGGGGTGTTAATGTTGCAGTTTAAAAACTGTAGTGTAAAGCACCCTTCTGGCAAGACAGTGATGGAGTGAATGATGGTGAAAGTTTTTCTTTTTCGGGCCACCCTGCCTTGGTGGGAATCGGCCAGTGTGTTAATAAAAAAAAAATAAAAAGAACAGACATATTCTTATCATTTGTCCCCAGGTACCAACTGATCATACAAGGCACCTACTGGTTATACCTACAGCTGGTATACCGGAGCCAGCTGGTCAACCAATCCAGGTTTTCTGTTTAATTTAGTATATGTACATAGTTTGACTTTTAGTAAGGAATCACGCAAATAAACAAATAAGACTACTGTATAATGACATACAGTGGAACCTTTGTTTTCACTTGCCCTGGCTTTTGTCAAATTCAGTTTTCAACAACTTTTTTCATCAAAATATTGTCCCAGTTTTCGTTCATCACCTCGGTTTTTGTCCTTCATACCGAACGTGTCCATCTGCCCGCACCAACACAAAGCATCCCACACACACATTCTGAGTCAGTCTGGCTTTGTTTCTCAAGTGAACATTACCCAGCGCATTCATACATAACATTTCATAATAATCCATTGTTTTTTTTTTGTGCTTGTTTATTGAGTGCGACTGCTAAATAAGCCACCATCGGGCCAAAGAAAGTTCTGAGTGCCAGCCCTTTCATAAAGAAGGCAAGAAACATGATAGAATTCAACGGTGGTAGAGGGTGGTAGAGATGGTGGTAGAGGGTGGTAGTGATGGTGGTAGAGGGTGGTAATGGTTGTGATGGTGGTAGAGGGTGGTAGTGATTATGGTAGAGGGTGGTAGTGATGATGGTAGAGGGTGGTAGTGATGGTGGTAGAGGGTGGTAGTGATGATGGTAGAGAGTGGTAGTGATGGTGGTAGAGATAACCTCTCATCCCTCTCCCCTCCTCGCCGTCTTCCCTACACCAACAAGAGTCTTCAATAAAGGTAAAAGTGATTTAAATGGTCATTTATCCACTTCATTAGTACTTTATATTTATTTCTCATTGTTTTCTGTATGTAAAACTATAGTTATTCTCCATAAAATGTATTGTTAATATTTTTGGGTGTCTGGAACGGATTAATTGGATTTACATTATTTCTTATGGGAAATATTTCTTCAGTTTTCATCGAATTCGGTTTTTGTCAGACTCTCTTGAACGAATTAAAGACGAAAACCGAGGTTCCACTGTAGAAC